CCGTTGGTAAACCCCATACCGCTGTGTATGCTGTTTATTAGGTACTTTAGCTGATACGAAGTATCTTTGTTATTGGTTGAGCTAAAGTTTTTCTATTACTAACGTTGTAGTATACATTAAGCTATTAACATGTAATAACTAACAGTTAATGATATATTTTACAGTATAACCGTTGTTTCCCAAGGTAAAAATGTTTCGCAACAATTACCTTTTCTGTTATGTTATGTTCACACAGCAAGCTTAATATTTGCATGGGAACAGTTCTAAGGAAACACTAGAACTTCTTCCTCGCATTTTTTTTTACCGCACAGAGTATGATTGCTTCATCTTGTTTGTACCCCATAAGCGGTTTTGAATGGAATTGAGAATAACGCACGCCAGCTGTTTATCTTTTGTGCCAATTGACGCCCGGCGGCCTGTGTAACTGATTCAAACGATTTAAAAGTCCATTTCAATCTGATCTTTGTCACAATGTCTTCTTGAAGATATTCCACATATCTATCTTCTATTTAATTCGGGTTGTATGAAGGGACGGTGCTGTCAGCATTGTACACTTGTATTTTTATTTTCTTTCCAAATCAAGCAAGCGATCTCCGGAGGCTTAGCAAGGATAATAAACTCCTGAGAATTTTTTTCTTAAAATTTAATATTGTTATTGAGCTTTGTACCCCGATTATGTTTATTACGAAAAATGGAAAAAGCTACAAAGTACAAGTTTTGGCTGCTAATTCGGAGATCACAACATCTCCTCATCAGACTCCTTTTTCTAAATTTCAGGAGGGATCGAACCAGCATCATCGATGTGCAAAGTCAGAAGCGCTAACCACTGAGCCATGCACACCCCGTAAATTCCTGTTGATAATTCATTTCCTTTTTTCTTTTAGCTCTCCTGATATTTGCTAACACAGGTAAGTAGAAATATGAAAGCTTTATATTCTTGCTATCCAAAATAATTTACAATAACAACGGGAAGAAATACTTCATTTACCTCCTTTGCTTGCGTAAGCAGTAATCACAAAAAAAAGGATTGTTCCAACATCTTCCAGTTAAATAGTTGCGCGTCGTTACGTGAAGGCTCAGTGAGTAGGAATGCCCATCCAACTTCTAATCTTCAACATTGCCCAAAAACCTTGTAGCTAATAAGCTAGGCATATGGTTGCATCTAACCCTTTATTTCGAAATCAGGTGGCGATCAGAGTGTGATCCATGTTGTTGAATGCCGCTTCCACATTTAGAAAGCCGAATAAAGCATACCTACTCCTTGTAATTGAATGATTTCCCAATCCGTCTTGTTATACCCTGAAAAGCATGAAAAAAAAACTTGGCAGTCAACGAAATGGAACTTTAAATAAGTTGGATTACTTCCATAAAAAAATTAATACTGATTTGGGCATCATCCATCAGCCACATTTTGGATATTTTTCAACAAATTTTTTCACGCTTTTCGCACGTACCGCTTTGACTAATTTGTCAAAATTGCTGTTGTAATTTTATCACTAAATGCCAATCGCATTACACAAATCCTTCATGTGTTTTGTATGGCTTTTCAGCGGTAACAGCTTTTAGTGATTTATGTACCAATAACTTAGGTTCCATTTTTTCTTGCCAAAGCAAAAGCCGACGTGTGAAAATGTTACCGAATATTATGCTCTATAGCTTGCTGCCATCTATCAACCAAGTAGCCATCGTTTGGCACGCATGTCATTTGGAAGTCAGTTATTCTCTGGTGTGTAATCTGCTGACGGGCATCAACAAGACCCCAACTACCGTTAAGGTAATTACCAAAACAAAAACCAACCAACAAATTCAAGCTGTAGTCATTTGCGAATTAGCCAAAAAGACCGCAATGGCCAAAACCAGTTGCTGCAGTAATTTTTGTTTAACATGTTATGCGAGACACTATTTACTAGGAGTTAAGAAAAAACACACTACAAATTTGCAACAAAATAGAAAACCTACAAAAAAGTGCATTGAAAAATGCAAGAAACATCAAAAGAATGCCTACCAAGCTGAGGCATTACAAATTGCTTCTGCCACTGGCGGCGGCATCAGCTACACCTATAATTTCGAATCTATCGGCCCAAGCCGATGTGTCCCTTCCTTCACCACTTCTTTCGTCCTCTCTGTCTAAATATGGGGATTTGGCATGTTTACAGACGAAATGCCAACATGTTTGACAAATATCAACGCTTACGCATGTCAGCTACATATGTACATTGTACGTATATACAAAAAAAAAAAAAAACGAAAAGGGTAATTTTTCAATTTTATTACAAATTGACAGTTTTGTAAGCTATTTGACAGCTAAATAATTTGGGCATGGCATACCGCTCGCTTGTCCGCATGTCCGTTTGTCCATTTCGACAAGACCACACATTGTCGAATGTAGAATTTCGTAAGACTTTGCGCTTCGTATTTGCTTTCAAAATATAATAGATGGCAAATCAGTCGCTTGGACATTGCAACAGAGCTATGTATGTATGTAATATGCATAAGTGTGTAGATGAGTTCTTCTCATAGGATCTGGAACATGTACTCGTACTTGTTGAATGCCGTAAATAGTTCCAGACACATACACAATAAATTCCTGTAATCCGAATTCGTAGCAAACACTTGAATAGTGCATAAACTGAGAGAAAAAAATTAAAATCAATGAGAAGCGTAATTGATCTTACTATAAACGTCAACGAAAGTACTGTAAGTTCGTTCGTTCTGAAAAAGCCTCCGTGCAGTGATTATTTTTGTTTAACTTCACAGAAAGTCCGGACCTGGGTAGAAACTCATTATAGTAGGAAGTGAGTTAATTTGGACCTATTATGTTTTGCATGTTTTCACATATTTTACGTGTTTGTATATGTTTTGAATATTTGCATATTTTTGTAAATATTTTGCATACTTTTGTATATATTTTGCATATTTCCTATACATAAATTATTATAAGCATGCCACTTTAATCTTTTTAACTCCGCACGTGACATACTGACCTCCTTCTGGCCCTGAATAGTTATGGCCAGCTACGCCAATATGGAACAAATCTAATTTATTTGTGGTATGTAGGCAAGTGCTAGCGATGATGTGAACATTTTTTGCAAGTTCGCCAACTAAATCTTAACACCTTCTTTAAGTACAATAGGTAGGATGCAAAAACTCAATAGCATATCTTAAGGCATCTTCATTGGCCACATTTCTGGCAACAAACCAATTGTACCTTGTAACTGTGGTTCTCGCATACCCTTCCTCCCTACTTGAGGGAGAGGAAGGCGAAACCATCACCTGATTTCCATGAAACTGAGTCTCTAGAAGAGCAGAGAGTTCTCCGTTAAAAAGCCATCGGGACTCTTGAGTGAACGCAGCTTTGTGGTTTGGTCCTTCTTCAGAACTTTTATCAGCCTAGCTGTTTGACTCAAGGTTTCAATCCCGCTGCAGACCCCTCGCAGAGCGAATTATACTATGTTCCCACTGCACGTAATCCGCCCTCCCATTCATAATGTTATCACTCATTCGTAATTTGCACTGTAAAACGGTGAAGTCTGTTCCCCTTGTGAGCGGTATTCTTTGCTTGGGAGAGGCATTTCACCGCAATATTTCCATCTCTCTCTTATGAACGAGCATTGGCTACAGTGCCGGAGGCAATGACGGCCCGCAGTAGTCATCTGCCGAGTATAACCCGCCCTTACCATTACGGTAATGAGCAGAGGGCCTTTACGGGCTAACAATAAGTTGTCCGGGCCACAGACCTCCAGATGTAGTTGCTTCGAGGAATAGCGAGAGCAGTTCTGCCACCACCGACTCTTGCATCACTTCTACCCTTGGTTTGAGGCAGGCATTTCGGGGCGCCAGAGGTCTGTCTGGATGATCGGAATTGGGCAATGCCACACCAGTACCGTGCTACAATATGACTCGAAAAGGCATTGGGACAGCAATTGGTGTCTGTCACCACAGGTTTACTTCTCTTGCAACGTTTGCAAGCATATTTGGATGTCGGTACATCCATTAAGTTGCACTGGCTTCTGGAGTAACATCCGTGGACCTAGGCCGCTTACTGAATGCAGCGACAGGAGGTGTTCGGTCAGCCACAGAAGAGGGTTTCCCCTACTTGCGTTTCGCCCCCCGACACTTCCCCTTCTGGGCTGTGGAAAGAGGACCAACTCCGCCATTGGAGGGTAGTTGGCAGCGAACTGCTTCTTCACCTACATCCCCTGCAAGAGATTGATCCTCTTCCGATTCTGAAGAAAAGAGGATTGGCTTTTTCTCTCTACTATCCTCCATGATTCGCTCCTGGTCTATGACATTGGAGACTTTGGCAACGGTTAGCCGGCGGGCGGCCTGGATTATGGCGATTAGCTCTGCTTGAAAAACAGAACACTGATTGGTCCGTTATGCGTAGACTGAGGTTAAGCGTGAGTTCACCAGAGTATATTCCGCACTGACATTGGGTTGCCTCCTCACTAGGCAGATTCAAACTAGGCCAATTCATCATGCAAAGGAGATTTCTAAGTGCTCTGTTTCTAACATAAGTAGATTCATCAACAAGTCAAAGAGGTTTACAGATACCAACGAATCATGAGAGCCGTAAATACAAATTAGAGGCTCAGAGACGGAAATTTGCTTTCAATAATGTAGTTCTTTAAAAATTTGTATAAAACAGTCACTATAAAAACTTTACTTGCTCGAAGTTTTTTAAAGCAAAAGGACAACTGGTTTTAATGAGAGGTACTTTTTTATGGTAGAATTACACTCGGAGGTTTGGCATTGCCTGCCGAGGGGCGACCGCTATTAGAAAAGGATTTTTTTTTAGGTTGCTCGGACCAGGGATTACACCCTAGACCCCTAACCACTATGGCGGCTGCATAATGGCATAGCCACATTCTGAATAATTAATACATTATTTCTTTTAGATAACAAAATAATCATAACTTTGTACATTAGAACTAAACAATACAGGCACTGAATGAAGAGAATGAAAATGAAAATTAAAATAAAAATCAAGCCAATCTGGTCCTAGTTGCTCTTCAATCGAAAATGCCCAGCTCATCGAAACGTTTAAGAGCATATCGTAACGTTTCAGTGGTGCGAGGATTCGAGGAGAACATCAATTGTACTTTCTTACGAGCGAAATCCTGATCGGTCATCGCCTCTATACTGTTGTCGCAAGAGTCCTCCTTCCGCATCGCCACCATTGGCAGGAAAGCATACGAAGAAAAGAAGCCATACAATTCACGTGCGCGTATCTCTGCTTCGAGCTCATGCAGAGTGGGAATGTGATCATAGTGCATGTGTTCGAGTGAATCACGCAGAGCCTGGTAGTAGGTGCGCACGAGGAAGTCACGACGATTCACGAGTACATCCAGCTGTACGCTGCTGTTCAGAAAGAAGTTGATGTCGCAGCCGGGACTACCGTAAAAGCTGTTCTGAAAGTCGAGCTGTGGCATAAAAAAAAATAAGAATAAAATTAATTTACTCTACATAATTTGCTTTAACTTACGAATATTGCATCAATCGGCTTTGTCGGATCCTCCGCATCATATTTGTACATAAAGTTGTTCACCCACAAATCACCATGATTTAACACAGTCAGCTCGCCAGGATTCCGTTGTCCTGTCGCCACGAGGTTGTCTTTGATATCATCGCAGTGGCGATGCAATTTAACAGCAATAGACTCATATCCAGGCCACTTAGCCACTACATCGGCGAGTGTGCGTAGTTGTAGGGTCATGAAATCAATGAAACGCTGGTTGGTGCGTATATAATGCTCATCCAGCATGCCTGTGGTGAAGTGTTCGCGAACCGAGGGATCCTGCAATATTATTAATGAAAAGTTCGATATATAGAGGCATAGATATATACTGCGGAACACGAAAAAATGAGATAAGATCTATGCAAATCCCAAATATTTAAGCATTTTGCGTTACTGTGATAAAAAAGGGTTCTGTAAAGTTTTTCGATTGCACAAATCACGTCACTTTACGCGCAATTGCTGCACGGATTCACACAGACTCAACAATACAGTCGGACGCAAGCGTAAAGATGAGGAAGATGAACCACATACTTATTGGATTCAAATACGAATACTCAATGAGTTGAAGTCAGCAATCAGTCTTCCTAAAAGAGCTACACCAGGGCGCCGGAAATTTAAAGATGCGACGATATGTAGTCTGGACACTTTGTCTTATGCAAAGAGGCCTGTCACCTTTGAAAAACGTATGGATCATTTGCTTATGGGACTGGATTGGGGAGCGTAGACGACCTCATCGAATGGGGTTAAAGCCTCGATCAACAGTTGTAGAATTTGGTAGAAGTTTTCCAGAGGAAAGCTGCCGCTGGTCTTAAACTATGGTAAAAAGTACTCATTGTTCAAGATGGAGGTGAACTGCTTAGGACATAAAATGACTGAAAGCCTCCATATTTCTGAGGAGAAGATAGAAGCAGTAAAAGATTGGTCAAGACCTAGGAATTTGCACGGAATAAGAAGTTGTCTTGGAATATATTTTTACTTTAGCCGATTTTTCCATGAGCTTACTAGCAAAACTTGAGCTTTCGAGTGGAACAAAGAGCAGGGGGAGGCTTTAGAAGCTCTGAAAAATATGTACTGCGCCTATACTGGCTGGCATATTCGGTTCTAGGTACAACGTTTATTTTGAATACGGATGCTAGTGGCTAGGCCATAGGAGGCGTCGCAGGTAGTTGATTGAGCTTTTTTTGACTAAAGTGGAAATGGCAGCTGAAAGTCCGATCGTAAAGGCATACTTGGCACAATGTAATAGCTTAAAGTTAATATCTAGTTGCTTGCTCAGGATATGGGATATTCAGGATGGCCAATAGTCTTCCAATGCAATAATGGTGGTTCTAAGGGTGAAAATTGCGAACGTAAATTCCACAATGGCCTCCGTGAAGGACACCTGAGAATCATGAAGACTCTGGAGAAAATGAGCAGAGGTTCCAATGGGTTGGTCATCGCCAATCGTCGTGTGGATAACAAACCTTGCGTGATGTATTGCATCTAAAACTGTAGGGAGGTATTCACCTACAATTGGATTTTGAGAACTGCACTCTGATCAGGGAAGAAATTTTGATTCGTCGATATTCCAAGAGACAACTAGTGACCTGAAAGGAGAAACCGATGCCGTAAAAAATCGGAACGACTCGCTAGATATCTGCCCTCATTGAACAATTGGGACTACTACTTAACAACCTGTGCAATCGCTGAGCAGAGGATGAGACATAGGATCGCATTCTAAGAGTCTGTTTCGCTTTTATTAGAATTAGGCTTTAGTGAGCTGTAAAGATAGCTTAAAGGCGGTCGAGAATAATCCAGGTGGCTTCAATTAGTTAATGTGCTGTTTTCTGAATGTGCGTTTTTGTAGTTATCGCTCTCAATGTCTAATTTTAACAACGCCGTTATAACTGTTGGATCAGTCAAAGCTCCACATTTCAAGACTATATATGTATGTATAAACTAGGGATGTGCCGGATAGAGATTTTGCCGGTTAATTGGGTTCCGGATACCAGATAGAAAACAAGAGACAGATTCGGATACCCGATCGGTAATCCGGTAGACTGTTGTCCTTTGAAAATTTCACAATATTGTGATAGTATGTTTTTGAATCATATGAAAAAGGCCGATCTCTAGTGAACAACATTTTTAAATTGAATATTCTATAATTGAAATCCGGAAATCCGGCCGGACACTGGCTAAAATCGGATAACAGGAAAATGGCCGGATAAGCCGTATTCTGGATATCTACCGGATACCCGGTACATCTCTGGTACTATAAACCCAAATGTACGGTTATCAATTATTAAAAAACAAAACAAACGGAATACGCTTAAAGTGGATTCCAGACCATTAGCATCTATACCACTTTTGTGGCTCTTCGCTGACATTGAAGGATAGGTTTGGAGATGAATAATTTTTGATATTCTTGAATATTAAAATGCATTTGTCAGACAGGAAATATCTTAAGGTAACGAAACACACACAAAGGTACATACTGATTGTGCGCATATAAAAATATTTTTTTTTTTTAGAAACGCAATTAAGTAATTACCAATTAAAGCCAATTAAAATTGCACGCTTATTAAATTTGGCAGCAATGAACGATTAATGTATTACTTATTTTGTTTATCGCTTTTCTTAATATATAGGTACTCAATGTACTCAATGCAAAATGGTCCAGAAATCAGAAGATAATGCGGCATTGAAAAATGTATACAAAATTCTTGATAAGTCTCATGTCTTCGGGGTAAAGTACATTTCAAATGCTTATACGTATACATCTGTCTTCGTATGGAATACTAGAGTAGTGGTAGTAGGAAGCTGGCTTTAGTATAATGCGGCATTCCCTTTATTCTTTAAACCACACATTTTTTGATGCGACTTAATAAGAATATTGACTTGCTAGTATCGGAACTAGTTCTTCAACTACTCGGTACCAGGGAGTCATTCGCGATCGTATGCTGCGAATGCCGCATTATACTAAGGACAGCCTTTCGACATAAGCTACTGTTCCATACGAACACAGACATATAGGGTAAGGCTTCCTCAAGTTGGCCCGCCCCGAATTTACCAAGATTAATATTTTTCAATGATATTCAGGCAGTGCTGAGTTTTGTAGTCAAAAAGTACAGTTTGTAAATTTTGTTGCAAATTTCCAAATAATTTTTTTAACCAACAATTGAAAATTTTTGCAATGTTTTGGAAATTTTTATTTATTTTTTTTTTAAGTAAGTGTCCCAATAAAAAAAATTTTTGGTTGCAATAAAACTATTTGCGTTACAAAAATATTTTTTTATTGCTTTTCAATATATAAATAAAAATAAATAAAAATGTATTTCGACCAAACCATATCGAAATGCACCAATTTTTTTCATAGATAAATGCAGAAGTGTTTATTACAGAAGTTGTCGTTAAAAATATTCGTCCACGAAGCGCAGAAACTGCTTAAAAGTTAAATTTTTCATAAAAAAATTATCGAAAAGCAAAAAAAAAAATATTTTTGTAACGCAATTAATTTCATTGTATAGTTTAATGTTTTCTAAATCTGCACCCAAAAATATGTTTTCATTCGGACACTGACTTTCAAAGAAAAATAAAAATTTCCAAAACACTGCTAAAATTTTCAATTCTTGATTAAAAAAAAACTATTTGGAATTTTACAACAAAATTTACACAGTGTACTTGTCGACTACAAAACTCAGCGTTGCCTGAATATCATTGAAAAATACTAATCTTCGTAAATTCGGGGCCCACTTGAGGAAGGCTTGCCCATAGTATTCATATACATACAGTATGTATGTCTAGTATAAATACACTTTGTAATGCAAACCTACTTATTATTAAATAAATACCAACCTTTTCCACCAACACCATGGAGGTCGCATGAAATTTGCCCAACTTTTTTAATATAACTATACAGTGTACCTCGTCAAGGCCATTTTGCCGACTGGCCAATTTATATCCATATTGGGTGAGGTCATCGAAAACAATGGTCTGTATTGGTTCCCGTGTTGTGTAGAAGCATCTGAGAGAAAATAATGTTGAATAATATCATTGAAATATATGATAAAAATATTGTAATAGTATGACTACGAGTATAATAGTAAATTTAACGAAGTTACAGCAAATTTTTTAACAATACCGGCAAGTATTTTTTAAATATTTTATTTTTCTGTAATTTTTTATTAAAATATGGTTAATTCTACAACAAAAACCCCAAAAATCGGAGTTACAAACCTTATGCAAAATTAAAGAAAATTCATCCAATTAATCCATATAAAATAGTAATTGAAAATTTTTTTACATGGAAAAAATGTGCGACACCTTCAACAAAAAAATTTGCCAAAAATAAATGGTAAGTCCTAGCTTCCGCATCTGGCACTTTATTATACTAAAATTGAATGGGCTATAAAACTGCATACTCAACTCTTTTCTAAAGAGCGTAAGTAAAAAGTGCAATATTTGAACGAAATTTTGCCGAATTTTCTTTAATTTGGCACAAGATTCGGAACTCTGATGTTTGGGGGTTTGTTGAAGAATTAACCATATTTTTATAAAAAATTTAGGAAAATTAAAATATTTATAAATCAGTTGCCCGTTTTGTAAAAAAAATCGCTGTACCTAAACTTTATTGACTGACTGTAAGTATTTATGACTGCTATCAAGTTTATGCACTTTCTATGGACCTATACGAATGCGCCAGCTGTAAACAACACCGAATATGAGACAGGCTAACGACGTTAAAATATGTAATAAAAATTTACAATAAAATTAAACCACAAAAGAGCGGGTTATGAAAATTATCGGAAATGCAGGCCTACGTAATAGAGGTATTCACACCAGAGACCCAGAATAATAATTATTTTATATATTAAATATTATAATTATTTTATATATTTAATATTAAAATCAAACAGGATTTCAAATTACAATTGGTATTGTTTTGTAAATAGGCTGCGTATCAAATTTTACTTATTTTTTTTTTTTTTGGTGCTGGTCGATCATCCGCACAGAATGGGAAAAATGAGTATTTTCGAATAAATGACGGTCATCATTTGTTAAAGTCGGTTTCATAGAATAATAAATGTAACTGAATATGGCAAAAAGCCGAAGCCTGTTTAACGACTTCATTTTGATTATTTTGAAAATTACTTTTATTAACAGTCACTGCTAAATAAAAAGTGTTTAGTAACTGAAACTAGAATTCCCTTTTCAACGTATTTTACTCCTCTGAAATTTCCTGGACTTACCAAAAGAATATTGGATAAAACTAGATATTTACTTATTTATAGCCCACTCCTATTTTCATAATTATACTTGTGGTATTCACAACAGTGTCGTAAGTGTCGTGTTGTTGTATATCGTGAACTTTAAATAAATGTTTAGAGGTCTTGAGACCACAACCAACTATTATTTAATGGTACTTTGCAAGCCCCCTTTTATATTTTAGCCGTTTACGGCGTACGTAACAACACTTACGACACTGTTGTGAATACCCCAATTATTTAGTTTCAAACCCCAATACATACGTACAGCATCAGAAGTTCTCACTAGGCTCTACTTAGCACATTTTCTCCATTATTTGACACTTCAAATATTCACTTAAACTTCCTCACTATACCACGTATTCTTATACTCACTTAGGCCCGAATTTAGACCCATCGCCTATCAGCACTTCCAGCCGTCCAAGTACATCGAAATAGAAAATCTTCTCTCGTAAATAAACAGCCAATTCTTCCAGGAACTGTGTAGCCGGTGTTATGGCTATACTTTTCACGATCAACGCTAACTCTTCATCCAACTGACGTTTGCTACTCCTGTACAAAGCCCTGGCACGATATATTTTACTGCAATAGTTCTCACCGCCACCGCCATTCGATTCGGCGAATATGATTTTCTTTATATCGATACGCATGTCACGCAGCCCATCCTCTAAGGCTGCCTTGAAAAATTGCTCATTGAGATATTGTGGTGGCTCGTTTGGTATTTCTAATTTCATCCTGTGCTGTGGGTTCTGCTCGGCGCTATTTGTGTATGTAGTTATGAGAAATCCTCAGCCTAGAGTTTTATTTTCTTTTAAGCGTCTGCGAAAAATGTAAATTTCAAATTATTGCGAAACGGAACGCGCTTGTAAGGCAATTCTATTGGAACTGTGCTGGATACCCGATGTCCACACCTAAATATAAACTTTGATGGTTGTTATCTATGAAATAGGCAACGGACGTCTTGGCTTGTCATCGGAAACGTTGGCGTCACCGCCCTCAATATGGCTTTGCGCTTTCAACCAACCGTAATTGCAGTATTTGGACAACGGACCTAACATTATCGGCGTCCGCGCTGTGATGTAGTCGCCGTCGGCCACATCGTAGATGTACATATGTAAATGTATAGCTATCTGCATACATATATATGTATGTATGTATGTATGTATGTTCTACATGCACCTAATACTCATGAGCGATCAATGCAGCGGCCTCGCAGATAGAACTGCATTATCTTTCAAGTGGCTGTCTTATATTATTTAGAGAAGGTTTTATGTACATATTAAATTCTTATGTTGGCAAAGAGCAAATTTTGTTGGTAGGATTTGACGTTCCATACTCCTACGAGTAGCAGAACTCGCGCTCATTGATTACCAATACTGCATACTTATTTTTGCTTCCCTTGCTTATGTGTATGTACATACATACTTATGTATTTGTGTATGCATATTCGTCTGATACGGGCTTATCTTATAGGACTTCTTATTCCTTTTTTTTGGTTTTTAAATTTCTATTTCGTCTTATTCCGTTGGTTTTTGTTAAAAAAAAAATGTCCAAAAAATATAAATGCGGGATTTCCCAAAAATTTATAGATAACCTTAAAAATTGTTGGGAACTTGACCACATTTCCCGTTTAGTCATTACCAAAGAATTCTCGATTATATAGAGGCCCATAGCCTTTCGGACTTGGCGTGTATCCGAGCGTGGCGGCAGGTTTGTCTGGATGCATTGCTCTTACTTAAGAACCGACTGGACTTCTTCAAAGCGGCAAATCTATGCGCCAAGGTTTCTCGATTTTCCTAAGAGGAATTTTTATTTTGCAATCTAAAATTGTATTTGACCTCAATGACGATGACCTCTTACTGCCTTTTAACTGATCCGGTTTAAGGCTGGTAGTTCCGCAATTAACTGGCCTTCTTAGTTGGCTCTGCAACCATTAGTCGCCTTGGATATTGCTTTCGTTGTTGTTGATGAATGTGAATTGTATGGCATAACCAAAAGACTTTTTAAATTACTAACTAAAGTAAACGACTAGAGGCCTGTTCTAAAGTTATTGATAAGTCTTGGATTTCAATATTTAGCTTTGCATTTTGGCAATTAGGTGTCACCGAGAATAAGAAACACATTTTCAAAAACGTTTAGTATTTTCTCATTAATATTATTGTATGTACGTACTTGTTTCGAATATACTATACACATTTTTTTATACAATTAACTTTGTCAACAATTAATTAACCAAATTTCTTTTAGAACGAGAGAATAACACATACATATATATGTATGTATGTACATATGTATGTATGCAATTTTTGGTTTCAAATTTTTCTTTGATTCGTCGATAACCTATTGTTTATGTGAAATTTCAGGCGCAATAATCGTGATTACGCCATCTCCTATTTACATTTCTATGCATATGTAAAAATGTGTGTATTTTATTATACTCGAGCATATTTGTGCACAAAGTTATGCAAAAACAAGTAAGAGCAGCGCTGTCTTCGGCTATGCCGAAGGCTTCATACCTTTCATGAACATCTGCAAATTTTACTTTGACAGATTACTGCTTTTGAGTACATCTGCATACATCGATAGAGGAGTTACATACCTATATAAAAAATCGCATCTGAACAAACAGAGGTATGGAAGATATACCTTATATTAGCACCAATCTAAGTGATTTTCACTGCTATGTGATCGGTATGTAAACCGACACAATTTATTGGGTTTAGTTTCCTACATAAAGGAGATATATCGCAAAAACTGGTATCTGAACAATCAGTGCTATAGGAGATAAAGCTTATACAGCATAGATTTTGACGATTTTCTCAGTAGACTTTGTATTATTATTTATAAAATATCTTACGAAATTTATCGGTTTTAGCTGTTCAAATAAAGGAGTTTTACAGTAAAATCCCATATCTGAACAATCAGATGTATGGAAGATATATGTTGTAGTCACCCGATCCTTGTTATTTTCACTGTAAGTATTCTGTTAATAATGAGTGAAAATGGTGCGAAATTTCATGTTCCTAGCTGCATAAATGCATGAATTATAACGAAAAATCTCATATCTGAACAATCAGTTGTATGGGAGCTATAGGTTATAGTTATCCGATCTTTTTAATTTTCACTGTAAGTTTTCTGTTGATAATTATTGAAAACAGTGCGGAATTTCCTGTTCCCAGCTATATAAATGGAGGAGTTATAACGAAAAATTTTATATCTGAACAATCAGTTGTATGGGAGCTATAGGTTATAGTGAACCGATCTTTGTAATTTTCACTGTAAGCATTCTGTTAATAATGGGTGCAAGTGCTGCAAAATTTCATGTTCGTAGCTGCATAAATGTAGAAGTTATAACGAAAAATCTCATATCTGAAAAATCAGTTGTATGGGAGCTATAGGTTATAGTGACCCGATCTTTGTAATTTCCACTGTAAGTATTCTGTTGATAATAGGTGCAAGTACTGCAAAATTTCATGTTCCTAGCTGCATAAATGGAGAAGTTATAACGAAAAATCTCATATCTGAACAATCAGTTGTATGGGAGCTATATGTTATAGTGGTCCGATTCTTCCGGTTCCGACAAATGATTAATACATTATAAAAATACACCACTTACCAAATTTGATCCGGATATCTCGAAAACTGAGAGACTAGATTGCATACAAACAGACAGACAGACGGACAGACGGACAGACGGACAGACGGACAGACGGACAGACGGACATGGATAAATCAACTCAGCTCGACGTTCTGATCAAATAAGTATACATTTTAATGGGTCTATCTCTTTTTGTTCTGGTACTTACAAACATCGGACCAAAGTTATAATACCATTTCATGCTCATGAAAGGTATAATAAACTTTGTTTGCACAACCGTTATTTGTCACAGTCGGAGCGGTATAGCCTGCCAGTAAGGAATCGTGTAGCTCATAACGGAGTCTTTGCTAGTTCCTGACAACTTGAAATGTATGAGATGCCTTCCTTCGCGACTTCGGGAATAATGGCCGCGGCACAGTGGTTCAAAATTGGCATTTTGTATTCACAATTCACTGGAGCCTTCCTTTTTCACTCAATTTGATTATTTTTAATTAAAGCTAATAAAATTTGCAAGCGGCCATTTGTTGAGCCAGATTTTTTTATTTTATTTGTTTGTATTATTTTTTTTAACGCAAAGTGAAGAAATTAGTAATTTTGAGGAAAATAGATTCTCCTGATCCAGTTACATAATAAAAACTTGTTGAAAACAATTTTAGGGTTCTCCTAAAATGAGAAAAAATTAAAAAAATTACATGTTATAAACAAATTTTCACCAAAATTATTATTTTTTTTGTTTCTATAAAAATTTTGTGTACGCAGTTTTATTAATCATTAAATTTTACTATAATAAAGTGAAAGTTGCTAGTGGCTATAACAAACGCTTTTATTTTCCTTTAGCATGCAGATGTGCTCGAAGTGTTAGCGAAAAAATTATAAAAAATTTGGTGATCTACTAAGAAAACTGAATGCCCAACATTTTTCTAGAAACCGACTTGGGTTCAGTTGTCAAATAAGATTATATTGACGACACAAAGAAAATAGTAACAGGATTTTTTCAAACAGCATAACTTTCGGGGTTTTCATTTTAACGATTTGAAAATTTTGAACAGAAAAAGTATTTTATAAAGCACTAGCAATTACCCGGCGTGCTTCGCTGCGCCTTAAATGTATTTTTGTGTTGTAACTCTCCCCCTAAGCTCTTATGGCC